AACTCCCAGAATTCCCCAGCCATTGCTTGCTGGCTGGGAAATTCTGGGAGTTGAAGTCCACCCGTCTTAAAGTTGCCAAGGTTGAGGAACCCTGCTCTCAGGGGTCCACGAAATCAAAATGATTTCCCAGCCTATGCTGAAAAATAATACAATATTAAAATCCCATCCAACAATTATGAAAAGCGGTAGTGGCAGCAAATGCGTCAATTTTAACTTTTAATATGGTCAATACTGTATTTCTTTTCAATACAAAGAAAAGCTCTTTTGGGGTCCTTCATAATTTTGAAAAGTGGGAAGGGGTCCTGAGAGAAAAAAGTTTAAGAAACCCTGCTTTAGGGTGTCAAGCATACCAGTCTCCAATTCCCTGTGTTCTCTCTTCTTTGCTCTTCATGGAGCAAAATTAAGGAGTGAAAATACTTGGTCTAAAGTTGATATATAGGTCAGTAGCAGGGATCAAATTCAGAAGGTTTGATAACATTTTTCCAGTCCTCAGTTCTTTAAACCAGAGATGAATAATCTCACACTGGATGACCAGAATAAGCGTAACAGCCCATAAAATCTTGATGATTTCAGCAGGCCACTAAAATGTACCAATGAAACTGCAGCCAACCACAGTAATAAAGACTTATTTTAATTAAAACAGAGAAGAATCTTCTAGACAAGAGCAGCTGAGGACCAGTACTACTTCTATTCCCAGACTCACAAGGGTGCAATCCTACACCCACTTATCCAAAAACTCAAGTGAGTACACCTTCTCAGAAGAAGAGATATGTAGGGCTGCATTGTAAGTTTATCCTCTTTCAGGTTTAAAATCTCATTCGGTCGTAAGACAGATGGGAAACCCCTGGCCCAGCAGTTGTAGAATTCGCCCCAGCATTAGCTAGTGTAGCCAATGATGAGGGGTGCTAGGAGGTACAGTTCAGCAAAACCAGAGGTTTCCCATTGAAATATCTGGCACATTTTCAAGGCTGAGCTGGGGCTACAAGAGGAGAGATTAAAAAGGAGTTGCTACTTGCCTTCATTGCTTTTATTTAATACATTCAGACAGTCCTTTGCTTCCACGTATTTTGTCTGTACCACCTTAAGTTGAGCAATGGATGTAGAAAGGAATTCCACTTCCTGGAGAAAAACATACAAAACTCAGAGCTCAGCAGTGAAGACCATACTTTCAGCTTTCAAACATTTGTTAGATGAGACAGTCTAAAACAACATCAGAAAATTTTGTCACTCTGCTATTTAGTGGTTTGAGAGATGTGCTAATTATTTTATTTAAACATGTCTGTTCTGTTCTCATCAAAAAGTTTTCTCATGCTTTTTATGACAGAGACACACCACACATCAGATACACAGCAAGAAAATGATGGAGATATTGTGGCTACATAGTTCACAAATATGGCCATTAGCCACAATTTCCTCTTCTTATCAATCATGTATTTTGGCTTTTTCAACAGACAAGCATGTGGGAAGAACTGGACTACAAGCATTTCCACATGTGGCAGCATAGTATCTAAACTCAGGGTGGAAAATCTGTGGCTTTTGTGAAGTTGCTGAAATTTCCAACCACATTGTTTATGTTGAAGAATGTTGTGTTCAGATGTTCAGCAACATCTGAAAGGGCATACAAGAACATCTTATGTTTATCCTAAGCTTGTCTCAACATCAAGCCATGGAAATCAGAGCATCTGGTTCCTTAAGGACTCCATTAGTGAACTGAAACCTGTAATTTAAAGAATAACAGGATGCATAGGGAATGAGTGACAAGAGTTGGCTCAAATTCTAATTGCTTGATATCCTTGTCATATAATCTTCTAGAACTAGTCTAGTGGACAATAAACTATATAGGTGATCAATAAACTACGTAAGATTATCACATAAAGCAAGTATTATTTCTTAAAGCACGAGAACATAGACTTTAAACATCAAAACTACAGTCCTGGGGTTCTTAGAGAAGAAAAGTTAGAACAGGAGTCTTAATCACAAGAATTAACTTAATTTATTCACAAATATTAACATGTTCACTTAAAATATAACTTTCAGCTAGATCTGCAATGTATGGGTTTGAATGTACTTAGAATGGCCTAACAACATAATAACTCTACTAAAAGCCTCACTCACTTTAATCTTGGCATGGATTTCTCTTCCCTGCCCTACTCCATATTCCACATAGTTGGCTTTAAGTTAAGGAATAACAATATCCTCCCCCCAACCACCTCCCCAAATACCTAATATTGAAAGGTGCCCATTGTGAATGAAAGCAACAGGTGACATTCATAGTAGGTTAGTATACCTGCCAGACAGGGACATTGTGTAAAGAGTTAGGAACATGACCTTGACAGAAATATGCAGGAACTGTTACCTAGGCAAAAGGATCTGAAACTTATTTTAGGTCCAGAACAATGAGGTAACATTCAGAAGCAGCTCAGACAGACACTTCCCTAATTGAAGTACAAGGAGGAGGAGGAGGGACAGCACAATCAGTCTTGCAAGATTCTGTTATTACAGCCAGTCTCAATCAAAGTAGTTTTAGCCTTCCTGCGCAGCTGATTTTTTGGTCTGGTCTACAGACAGTCCTTGGTTAATGACCACTCATTCAGCGACTGTTCAAAGTTACAATGGTGCTGAATGAGTGGTACTTACGGCCGGTCCTCAAAGTTTCGGCTGTCGCAGTACCCCTGCAGTCACGTCATCGGGATTTGGGCGCTTGGCAACCAGCTTGCACTTATGACAGTTGCAGTGTCCTGTGGTCACATGCTCACCATTTGCGCCCTTCCCTGTTGGCTTCCCACAAGCAAAGTCAATGGGGAAGCCGGCAGGTAAGGTCACAAGTCGCTCTTGCTCCTGTGGCTTTTTTCTCCACGATCCTTACTTAACAACAGCAACGGGGACTGCAAGGATTCCTGTTGCTAAGCAATGAGGTCACATGATGTCGCATTTTACGACCGTCAGAAAAATTCTGGGCCCAATTGCCGTCATAACTTGAGGACTATCTGAAATAACCATAACATAGAGTTAATGGAACATAGTCCTCTATTGTAGCTTTTGTGTTATCTTGTGCAATGATTTGGTTAGTCCCATTTTAAGATCCTTTCCTGGACATTCTAATTAATTTTATATTAAATAACTTCTTTGTGATCAAATTCTTAATTGCTGTGGCAAAGTTTTTAACTAGGGTTATTAGGATAAGGAAGCAATTTGATTTTAAGTAATATAGAGATATTGAGGGTTATGATTAAGGAAGTTTATATAATGTTGGGTACTTCAAAATAATCTTTTTATTCATTCATTCATTCATTCATTCATTCATTCATTCATTCATTCATTCATTCAATT